CCTGTGTAACAAATCCTCAGGCCCCTGTGTAACAAATCCTGGGGCTACTTTGTGAATGATCCCTGTTCTCCTTCACTGTAACAAATTCTCGGGATTCTTTGGATGTGAATCCTATTTTCCTTGACTGTAACAAATCTTAAAGCTCCTGTGGAAATAATTCCCTATTCTCCTTGACTGTAAGAGATCTTTATGTTCCTGTTAATATGAATCCTAATTTCCTTGACTGTAACCTGTCTTCATGTCCTGTAGTTATGAGAGAGCCTCCCTCCCCTCCCAATTTCACTTACTTTGATACTGTAACAGGTTATAAGACCCCGCCCGAAAGACCTCCCCCTCTACCCCCCTCCCATTCGCCCCTACTATTCGCCTTGACTGTAACAGATCCGCAGGCCCGCGTGGGAAGGACCTCCCTCCCCTCCCAACACATCTTAGGACCCCTGTGGTACAGACCCCGCCTTGACAGACCCGCAGGCCCCTGTGAGGATAACATTCCTCCAGATACGGCCGTGTAAGAGACAGGTATTTCGGACTTGTTGCCATTTTTACCTGTGTATTGATTGAATTTACAGGTTTTTTCGGCTAATAGATCTAACTGGGACAGCTTATTGATTTTCGACACCTGAGGAAGTGAGAATCGATTCCTTGTCTTTGAAGTGGAAACCAATTCCTGTGGATTTTTACATATCATCTTACCTGGAATTACAAGTGTTGTGGTTTTTACTTCGTTTCTTAATACTCGTGATTCTATCACCATGACAACAGGGATGGTTGGAAGTTACATGTTGACGACGAGAAAAGGGTAATTATTTTTCTTTTTAATTAATTAATAAATGCATTTGATTTCTTCATTAACAAATTGTCTTCTTACGATATCGATATCATACAGCTATATCATATAAAATTCACAGATATAGAATAGATATTTGGAATATCCGGTATTCTGTTTACAACTTAAGAATACTTTATATTCTATTTCTAATATGAATTTACAACTACAAAATAACTTCCACTGTTATATCAGATTTACCATTACGGTTATATATAACACCTTCACTATGGCTTTCTTCTATCAACATCACATAATATAATTCTACCTTTCGGAGAGAAAACGGTACTTCATTTCTGATTGTATGAAACAAATAATCCAATTGTTATTCATACACATGGTAGATTATTTCAAATTGATTTTTTTTCAATCACAATGTAATTGCTATGGCGAGCTTATAACTCGTAATAGTCTGTTTACGTGTACAGAATACATCAGCACAGTGGTGTTTAAATCGTCCTGTACATTATACCATAAAGCAGTCTGTACTGATTTAACAAAAGATTTGTAGATGTTTAAACTGAGGATACTGATTATACCGTGTCAGGTTACTTGTATTAATTACAGGTAACAATAAGTATTGACAGGTGATAGAGAAATCTCATGTTAAGGTATTCTATCATGCATTTAAAACTATTATGTGAAGATAAAACACTTTATATCAGGTTTCACGTTGTATGAGAAAAACAATATCTGTTTTAAAAATGAGTCTATACCCACGGCTGAATATATTCAAAGCGTCGGTTTAAATTAAGCATGTAGTGTAACTTGGACGAATTATAAATATAGGATTCAAAATGGACATTTAAAAAATTGTCACTGAATATCGATTTTATTTACTTATTTCTTTTTAATAATTTTGATTCAATATTTTTGATATTGTGTAATATATCATATACAAAATAGATCGTAATGAATGAAAGAATCCTGGGGTGTACGGGTGTGGGAGGGTGTGTAGGGGTGTAGGAGGGTGTGAAGGGATGTAGGAGGGTGTGTAGGGGTGTAGGAGGGTGTGTAAGAGTGTTGGACGGTGTGTAGGGGTTTAGGAGGGTGTGTAGGGGTGTAGGAGGGTGTATGGGGATGTAGGAGGGTGTGTAGGGGAGTAAAGGGATGTAGGAGGGTGTGTAGGGATGTAGGAGGGTGTGTAGGGGTGTAGGAGGGTGTGTAGGGGTGTAGGAGGGTGAATGGGGATGTAGGAGGGTGTGTAGGGATGTAGGAGGGTGTATAGGGGTGTAGGAGGGTGTGAAGGGATGTAGGAGGGTGTGTAGGGGTGTAGGAGGGTGTGTAAGAGTGTTGGACGGTGTGTAGGGGTTTAGGAGGGTGTGTAGGGGTGTAGGAGGGTGTGAAGGGATGTAGGAGGGTGTATGGGGATGTAAGAGGGTGTGTGGTGGTGTAGGAGGGTGTATGGGGATGTAGGAGGGTGTATGGGGTGTAGGAAAGAATTGGTGGTGTTTCTACTAACGTATGTTTGATATACATTGTGAAGCTGAAAGGTGCTTTTAAACGTAGTTCTGTATTCCGAAATGACGTTACGATCTACAAATCAAGGTACGCATTAACGGCTACGTCGATACGAATGACCAGGACTGTGTTTGATCAGGACTGTGTGTTTGATCAGGACTGTGTGTTTGATCAGGACTGTGTGTTTGATCAGGACTGTGTTTGATCAGGACTGTGTATTTGATCAGGACTGTGTTTGATCAGGACTGTGTGTTTGATCAGGACTGTGTGTTTGATCAGGACTGTGTTTGATCAGGACTGTGTTTGATCAGGACTGTGTGTTTGATCAGGACTGTGTATTTGATCAGGACTGTGTTTGATCAGTACTGTGTGTTTGATCAGGACTGTGTGTTTGATCAGGACTGTGTGTTTGATCAGGACTGTGTGTTTGATCAGGAATGTGTGTTTGATCAGGACTGTGTTTGATCAGGACTGTGTGTTTGATCAGGACTGTGTTTGACCAGGACTGTGTGTTCGATCAGGACTGTGTGTTCGATCAGGACTGTGTGTTGGATCAGGGCTGTGTGTTTGATCTGGACTGTGTGTTTGATCAGGACTGTGTGTTTGATCAGGACTGTGTATTTGATCAGGACTGTGTTTGATCAGGACTGTGTGTTTGATCAGGACTGTGTGTTTGATCAGGACTGTGTGTTTGATAAGGACTGTGTTTGATCAGGACTGTGTGTTTGATCAGGAAAGTGTGTTTGATCAGGACTGTGTTTGATCAGGACTGTGTTTGATCAGGACTGTGTGTTTGATCAGGACTGTGTGTTTGATCAGGAAAGTGTGTTTGATCAGGACTGTGTGTTTGATCAGGACTGTGTTTGATCAGGACTGTGTTTTTGCAGATCATTTACATTAAAACGTAATGCATCATAAATCACCACATGAGTCATATACAGAACAATATTTGATATATGGTGTATGGCATGAACAATCGGATAAAGTATCAGATATGTTTTATCGGAAAGTTGTCAACAAATCTTCAAAACAATAATGACAACAAATTTGGATAAACAAATATTGAAATAGATTTCACTTGTCATGAAAATAGGTTAGGTGTTAGGTAGAATTTACAATCATGTAAAGTACGAACTTCAGCTTGTCCCTTCCTCTGGTCACACAGTTAAGCGTAGAACGTATGCTGAACCCTTAGATTTTGAAGGTCATCTAAGACCTGTCAGCCCAGGTTACATACCGTGAGCTCCACTGAATGATTAGCTAAGCAACATAAGTAAGCTTTCACGAAATGTGTTGCATATATATTGATACAATCTACCACAAGTTACAAATATCACTTTACAAATATATATATATAGAGAGAGAGAGAGACAGAGAGACAGAGAGAGAGAGAGAGAGAGAGAGAGAGAGAGAGAGAGAGACAGACAGACAGACAGACAGACAGACAGACAGACAGACAGACAGACAGACAAGTATGTAGTCAAAAATCAAATTGAAATTCCATGCACAATTTCTTCCAAAGCATTTCCAGTTTAAGAACTTGTAACTACAAGAGATAGATATATAGAACATTACCGAGGCATGAAATCGACTAAGTCATGTACAAAAGGACCGCACTTAGTCTAAATCTATAAATATCAGAGTTTTCAGCTTGTTATCTAATGGAATTAGTTCAGCAGAATTTATAGATCGTTAGTTCCGTTAGTTAATATGATTTCAAAATTATAATAACCAGGATAATCGTCTTTGTACCAACAACATAACGCATAATATAGCGTGACAGCGTTAAACGGCAGTTTATGTTTTAATAACTGAAAGTACGAACTCTCTAAAAATACTTATAATCTATTTCAGTGTCAAGTATGCAAGTTCTCTAATAAGTTGACCTACATACCAAACGAAATACATAGTAAGTTCAGACAAATTTGTTGAGATATTCAGTTGCGCGGGCAATTATAATCATTTTACGAGAACATCAATTTAAGTCGTCATGTTTACAACTTAACTTTATCTCCCTAGTAACTATTGCGTGGACACTACACCATATTCTATTGTCCATCTGCCGTTATGTGTTCGTTACAATTGTAGCTTTAATAGCGTATCTCTATTGCCTTAGGAATCAAGCGGTATGACCAAAGCCTGTATCCTGTAGTAAGAGAGTGGTATAATTGTAGCCAATGGGTCCCGATAAACAGTTTTTAACGTTTAATTAATTAACATTTTTGTATTTTGTATCAAACCGTTTTGATGTCACAGGGAGATAATTTCAAAACATATGTCTGACACGTGAAAAAATCCAGTACATTTTCTTGAAGAGAAAACATCTTTTGCTATATTTTGAGAGAACATGAATGTCGATGAGACCAGACATTTTCATTAAGAAATGAAAGGACGAATCGTCACATCTCGACAAATTCCGTCAAGGTTCGTAACGATGACGGAAACAACCGATACGTTGCTATTTGGAAATCAATAAGACGACTTTATTTTAGTCACTTGTCTGCTCTGTATCGACTATTCGGCAGGTAATCGTTCCTACCAGAAACTTTAGGCGCTTCTAATTCCTTTGTCGATAAATACAGGAAAGAAAAGAAAACACCTTGATCGATAGTTAATGTTCTAGCGACTGGAAATTCAGGACTTAACGAGAGAATGCAGAGACCGGTGTAGGATTCTATAAGCGGAAAAACTTGACTGCAGTTCAGTCAATAAAATGCGTTACCTCAGAGGAAGCCCCAAGACTCCCTACCCAAAGCGTTACCTCAGAGGAAGCCCCAAGACTCCCTACCCAAAGCGTTACCTCAGAGGAAGCCCAGAGACTCCCTACCCAAAGCGTTACCTCAGAGGAAGCCCCGAGACTCTCTACCCAAAGCGTTACCTCAGAGGAAGCCCCGAGACTCCCTACCCAAAGCGTTACCTCAGAGGAAGCCCCGAGACTCCCTACCCGTGGTGATCTGTATTTCACGAGAAACTGAGAAACGGACCGGTCTGTGCTCTGGCTGACATGCGACTGTTCTCCTGTATGTTGTTCCGTGAGATATCGACCAGCTATTACAAGAAGACTCTCCTTCAAAATGACACCAGTTGATAATGAGTAGATAAACCCTATAGGTAAACAAGAATGACCTTCGTAAGGAAAGTGATCTTTGTTGACGAATCATATTTAACAATGGTTATAGATCGATATGTAGCACTATTCCATGTCATATACATATCATATCGGATTAGAACACAATAATTATACCATTTATTACGACATCAACAAGCCAAACCTAGAGCCTAGTGTGTATTGATGTTTGCGACATCTGGTGAGAGGGACTAAGACTACTGTATCCGGGACATGTATATGGTCTCACGTTAACCCATCAGACATGTTGTAATTGGACAAAGAGTGACTGGCTCCCGACGTAAAATGTTACTCATGAGTACATCGAATAGAATGCCACGTGACCAACGGCGTCACATATCAACACTCTGTACAGTAGTGGGCAAGCACTTGATTGATATGGCAAATAGCAAAGATAAATAAATTTATTAATTTAAAAAAAAGAGAAACCAAATATTTTTTTGTTTATTTCTCACTACCTTGTAATACCCCGGGGTTGACGAATTATATACCTTTACTATACAACATTTTAACACGATATTCATTCTCATACAAAAGCGCTGCATCATGAACATTTTGGTGTGACATATTTGCCAAATGTAACTAAAAACCTTCTAACATTATTTTAAAAAGAAATGAAGGATTTTCTAAAATGGTTCATTTAGCCCTAAATATCTGTGTTCTGTATTGGGTTAAGGTAAATATATGTATACTGAGTAGGGTTGAGGTAAATATATGTATACTGTGTAGGGTTGAGGTAAATATGTGTTCTGTGTTGGGGTAAATATATGTGTTCTGTGTTGGGTTGAGGTAAATATATGTATACTGTGTTGGGTTGAGGTAAACGTATGTATACTGTGTTGGGTTGAGGTAGATATATGTATACTGTGTAGGTTTGAGGAAGAGGATTATCGAAATTTATATAATATAATGTTTCTATAAAAGTTTATCAAAGCTATAGTCTATTTCAACATTCGACATTTAAATTTGATTGAGTTGTTTCCCTTCTACTGACACGAAATGTTACACAAACGCTAACCACGGGCACCTGTATCTACAGCCGGACTGTATTTTTGGCTGGAGCTGTTTACGTTGCAGATACAGGTGTCTATACTGTAACAATATAAAGACGAGCTCTTTTGATTGTTTATAGCATGTTAATCTCTAAACAAAATTGTGTCTTTGGAATCATAAGATCTGTCAGATTCTACCAGGGAGAATCTAACGGATAATTTTATGTGGAAATTTCACCAAGAGGCCTTGGACAATACTATAGTAACTCTCTGCCTAAGTGTGATCTGAATTGTTTTAAGACGAAAAAAAATTAAAATGACCGGAGATCAGGAACCGTATTCACGAAACCGTTCTCATGCTCAAGCATGAATTTTATGCTCAAGTCTTATATCTTGTTTTAGTTAAAAATGAACAAAGAAGGCTGGTTTTGAAAATATTTGAAAGGACTTCAAGCCAAATGCTATATTCTATGTTTAGAGTTGACATTTGTATTATTGGATATGATTTAAGTGAATTATGAAAAAGTACAAAAATCTATGATTGAGCATGAGAGCGGTTTCATGAATACGGACTCAGGTTTTACACCACTTTGTTTTAACTCTCAGCTAATGAAGGTTTTTGACAAAATACCTCTCACTTCAAGCAAGATCTGTACAGTTCTGTAACTGCTCTCATGACAATGCACCTTAAACGATTTCTTTTGTTAGCATCATTATTGTGACGTCATAACTAAATGACGTCATACTAATGTCAATGTAGTTTCAAACATGCTAAGGTTGAAATTCCACTTTCCTATTTTAAAGCTAATATCCAAAGTTAATATTTTAGACTTGGTGCAAATAAAAATATTATTCTGGCCCATCTTCTCCGTTATATTACGCTCACAATCAAAGACTATGATGGAGTTTTAGACCCACAACATGTCCCTTCGGCTCTGTCTTTGTTTATCAATAACAGTATTTTCTCGCCATTGTATTTTAGAATGCGTCGTTTTTTCCGACTACTGTTAACTTTCACCATCAAATGTGACTTTCTAAAGGTTCATTGAAATCTTTCGATTTTGGGTTGTTTTGGTTGTAAATAATGATTGTGTACTTAAAGGGCTGGTCGTCAATGGAAAATGAAAAAGAAGCCGGAATTTTATTAAATGGTTCGACAGTTGTTTCCGTTTAATAGAAATAAAGCTGGGGCCACGCATTTCATAAGCTAGGGTGAGCTTTTCGTTATTATCGAAAAATACTATTTTATCATGTTTTAACTACAATATATATCAATTTGTTAATACTTAGACCAACATTGTATTAAAAAGTAATTCGCCATCTTTTTAAGTTATATATCCAAATTAAAATTTCCCTATATGTGGCCTCATCATTTTCTTACGAACATATTCGGCTTGTATTTAACATCTTAACATCGAATATATACATTCATTAAGAAAACTAGCGGAGTGTTTTAATGAAGTGTTGGTTTTCATATCTTGTGAACATGTTTAAATTTGTTGATAGTCTTGGTGATCGGGCAGTACAAAATTCGAAAATGTAAGTATTCTTGTATAGGCTTTAGACATACATAATAACACATTGTGTATATAATGTTATTGTTCCATGTCATACAAGTTAACACTATATTACGAGATATAATGAAATAAGACTTCAAAGTTTTTATTTCTGGGAAAAGCAAAAAATGAAAACTTCGAAGCGAGCTCCATAATATCTCATATGAAATTAAAAAAATTATATACTTTTCATCATATAACGTAGAAAAAATTCATTTTGACACATTTGAAATTAAAAATGTGGAACACAACCATCAACGGGGTGAGGGTGGGTGGTTGGTTGGGTGGGATGGGGGAGGGAGATATACACACATATACATAAATGGTTACATGATAATCATATGAACTGTGACCTACAGAATTATAAACGTTTAATTATCATATACAATGTGAAGCACCTTTACATGATTTATAGATTCTATAATGTTATTGTTCCATGTCATACAAGTTAACACTATATTACGAGATATAATGAAATAAGACTTCAAAGTTTTTATTTCTGGGAAAAGCAAAAAATGAAAACTTCGAAGCGAGCTCCATAATATCTCATATGAAATTAAAAAAATTATATACTTTTCATCATATAACGTAGAAAAAATTCATTTTGACACATTTGAAATTAAAAATGTGGAACACAACCATCAACGGGGTGAGGGTGGGTGGTTGGTTGGGTGGGATGGGGGAGGGAGATATACACACATATACATAAATGGTTACATGATAATCATATGAACTGTGACCTACAGAATTATAAACGTTTAATTATCATATACAATGTGAAGCACCTTTACATGATTTATAGATTCTTTGTCAAGTTCGACAACATTCCACAATCAACAGAATAAACACACCCGAGAGTAATAACATACTGGTAATATATACTTTTATATGGAAATTAATTTTCTCCGCTAATATCTATTGCCTGGGTCACACGGTACTGTTACACGCTGACCACTAGGATTTTCATACATGTAACTTGTATACCTGTATATCCTCATGTATTAAGCTGTGGTGTGAAGGAATGCAACATTAATAAACGTATTAGAATTTCAAATAATGCTACACAAATATAAGGACTGTAGATGAAAAAGTTTTGTTCACTCTCGTGGTTAGCGGGGACAGAAAGAAACAAATTCTCATCACTCTCGTGGTTACCGGGGACAAAAGAAACAAATTTTCATCACTCTCGTGGTTACCGGGGACAGAAAGAAACAAATTTTGTTCACTCTCGTGGTTAGCGGGGACAGAAAGAAACAAATTTTGTTCACTCTCGTGGTTAGCGGGGATAGAAAGAAACAAATTTTCATCACTCTCGTGGTTACCGGGGACAAAAGAAACAAATTTTCATCACTCTCGTGGTTACCAGGGACAAAAGAAACAAATTTTGTTCACTCTCGTGGTTAGCGGGGACAGAAAGAAACAAATTTTCATCACTCTCGTGGTTACCGGGGACAAAAGAAACAAATTTTCATCACTCTCGTGGTTACCGGGGACAAAAGAAACAAATTTTGATCACTCTCGTGGTTACCGGGGACAAAAGAAACAAATTTTCATCACTCTCGTGGTTACCGGGGACAGAAAGAAACAAATTTTGTTCACTCTCGTGGTTAGCGGGGACAGAAAGAAACAAATTTTCATCACTCTCGTGGTTACCGGGGACAAAAGAAACAAATTTTCATCACTCTCGTGGTTACCGGGGACAAAAGAAACAAATTTTCATCACTCTCGTGGTTACCGGGGACAAAAGAAACAAATTTTCATCACTCTCGTGGTTACCGGGGACAAAAGAAACAAATTTTCATCACTCTCGTGGTTAGCGGGGACAGAAAGAAACAAATTTTGATCACTCTCGTGGTTACCGGGGACAAAAGAAACAAATTTTCATCACTCTCGTGGTTACCGGGGACAGAAAAAAACAAGTTTTGTTCACTCTCGTGGTTACCGGAGACAAAAAGAAACAAGTTTTCTTCAATTTCGTGGTTACCGGGGACAGACATAAAAAATAAATATATTTATAAATAAAAAAAGTTTAATGATACGCTTAAACATTGATTGATGCCATTTATCGAACAGTTTTAATTAATGTCCATTAACGTTAATGAATGCGTCGAAGTATGACGTGTTCGAGTTCATACATGCATGAACGTCAAATTAAGAGGAAATCGGCAATGTCAGTTGAAGAGATAATGAGTTTAATTAAGAATTCGTTCTAGCATGACGTGGTACCGACAATTGAGACCAACTTTGAGGTACATATTTAGAATATTCAGTGTG